CGATGTAGAATCGGAAGAGCCAGAACTTGGGTAACCACTACTACTGGGATATCCAGAGCCAGACGGATATCCAGAAGATTTAGGATACAATTGACCGTCCGAATTTCTAGAAGTATCTGAAGGTTCAGCTTCTGTTTGATGACCAGTCTCTCGTTTTGGAATTGCTCGTGTCTCAATTTCGTCGTTTTCTGTGTACAGTAATAATAATAATAATAATAATAATAATAATAATAATAATATTTAAAATAAAATATTAAAAATTATTTAAAAAATCGTGTAATCATATATCTTTATAAAGAAACATCACTTTCAATGAGTTTTTCATATCTGTCATGCATATATGCAAACGTGATTTATACTATACATGCATTGCGAATGTATTTTGTAAAAACATGTTAAATAAACAGATGCGATAACCATGTTATATCTATGATTGCGAGTCGAAGATTTGAATAGTTGAAAAAGCAATTGCCTAACAAAAGTATAAAACCCAGTTTTGGTTTCCGGTCCTCACTCCGCACAGGGAAAGAAATTTTGAATAGAGATATAAATACTCACTGTGATGAAAAACTAACAGGTGTAATATTTACCTTGAAAATTTAACTTAACACCGCTTACAATTAGATATGAAATCAAACAGTTAATAGAAACTATAATTACCAGCAGGTCAATGCAATTTCAAAGTAAATATAAATATGCAAGAATTTCATTTATAAAACGATTATAAATGAATATTTATTTCAATTATTTGCAATCAGTATTACATTATATTTGTCCTTTTTGTATAACAAGACTAGTTATATAATTTCATATTATATACGTATGTAAACGATATAAACATCAATTGGCACCCATTTTATATTAATATTTTGCAGTTAGTTGTATAAGTAAAAGATATATAAATTGATTTTTAGCCAGAAAACGTCCAGACTCTGTTTCCATTACTATCCACATGAGTATGAGTCGCATAATAATTGTTTCCTGTTGGCACAGCAATTCTGCTAGAACTGGTCGGTCGAGGTTGACGATCATCGCCGAACAAGCGATTGAAGATGGAACCGTCGCCTACAGTGTTTCGGGTACCGGAGTGACCGCTATATCTTCCCCCGTTTGACGAAGATCTAGGCGGCGGTGATGGAGCTCTTGGTGTCGTTCGATATGAAAGAATGGAGCCGTCACCTACGGTATTCCTGGAGCCTAAGTGACCGCTATATCTTCCCCCATATGACGAAGATCTAGGAGGCGGCGATGGAACTCTTGGTGTCGTTCGATATGATACTTGTCCCGGAGGTAATGCTGTTGAATCACATGATGAGAAAAGGGACTAATACAAAAAGCAAGATCTTTTTGTGTTATAAAATCTCTGCTAATTATTAACTGTGACTGTTCCTTGTAACAAGATAATAGATGTGATACATAAAACGTCGTACGATTATTACATTATTCTTAATAACTATAATTATTTGTTTTTTATATATTGTTTTTATAAAAGAAACGATAGAGCTATACTTCACCAAATTTATAATGAATATATATATATATGCACATATACATAAAAGATATTACAAATAAATACAATTTTCTTCACGTGTATTAATCCACACGAGCAACGCTGTCTATTCTTTTTGTACTACAATAATTGGTATATATTATTGTTATATTAAATGAATTTGCATGCAAGATAATTATGCTCTATTTGTAAATAGAGATATTTATAATGTCCGTTTGTTTTTACTAGAGTATTGCCATACAAGTCTCGATCTTAGAAGTAAACAATTTCATTAACATTTCTCTTATTCAATCCATATCACTATGGGACATTTAATCTCTTTCTCTTTCTTTCTTTTCAATTTCAAAACATATTGTATTACATGATAAATTAATTTTTCATAAAATTGATTTATTAAAATAAAGTAAGATTTTTTTTACATGATAATCCATAAATACAAGTAATCCACACAATCAATGATCACAAATCAAATTAATATATTATTTTTATAGTTTTAGTTATTATATAGTATCTGAAAAAATAGAAGAGAATGACTGTTTAAACACACAAATAAATTTACAAATTAGTAACATATTTGTAAGGTCTTTACATAAAAAATTTGCTAACTAACGACTCTCTAGTTCTCTTAAAGAAAAATTACTTTTAAAATTTATTTTAATTAATATGTGATATAATTGCTTACAAAAATATTATAATTATGTAATGCAACAAAATATTCCTGTAATCTGTAATTCATTAGAATTGTTAAAAAATATGAATAACAAAATAAAAATGTAATAAATATGCTTATTTCTATGTGTATGTGTTTGCACGATGCACTCGAGTACTTTTAAATAAAAAAAAGAAAAAAGAAACACGAGATATGATTCGATACAATAAGACGCAATAACTCACTTACGCATTATGATAGCGCATGAGATAACACGTGTCAAAGTTGAAGCTGATAACCCGTTCGTTTGTAAAATCTGTCTATCACATCTTGAATAAAAATCGTTCATAAAATGTTTTAAATCGCCGAAACGAAAAAATGAAATGAAGAAATAGAGAGTGTAACTTATTGAAAATCTTATTCTAAAAGTACTTCTTATAAATCGTAAGCATGCATGCATATAATTATGCACGAAATATATATTTTCATAGAGTTTTATTATTCAATTGCTATATTCGATTTAATAGTTTCTATTGTACGTGAATATGATCATTGGTAATAAATTACAAGAATTTACTATTGATGTAAAATTTCTTTTTCTTTTCTCATAAAATAAATTATTCATCAAGAATAAACTCCTTTTTTCTAAATATTTTAAAATTATTTATAATCGATATATGTGTGCTCAACTTATAATTAATTCCAAATGTATATAATGATATAAAATATATAAGACAGAGTATTATATAAAACTATGTTTTTCATAAAATATTATTCGCGCGCTTGATTTATATATATTATAAAATACCTGTACAAAAATTTATTTTCTACATAATACTTTTCTTTGTAAAATAGTCATGGACGATATTCTGAAAATAAGATCGATAATAGCACAACAATAATAATACGAATAAAACACGACACGAACTTTCAATACTGAATCACCACGTCATCACAAGAAGAGGAAATAACCCGGAGAATACGACGAGAATCATAGAGGCAATTATTCCGACTGATGCAGCATTTTTACGATAAATTGAATTTGGATTATTGTATCCACGTTGATTCGGATAATTCTGATAAGGGTAGTTTTGATATCCCGGATACTGCTGCGGATAATTATGTTGCGGAGGATATCCTGCGTTTTGCGGATATACCGGCGGCTGTCCTGGTACAGGCATCCTGTTTTGAGTCGGGTACGGCGGGTATCCTAAATCCTGATGACGGCCGGCCTGGTTGGTTGATTGAGGTGGATATCCATTCCCGGAGGAACTACCAGGATACGGCGGATATCCTAGGTTGTTACCGTAAGAGGATCGGTGATGGTCGCTGTTGTCACCAGACGGATACGGCGGCTGTGGCGGAGCTGGAGGAGCGTTGGCGTTCGAATAGGGATTCGCATTGGGATTCACGTTGTTTCCGCTCACTCGTTCACCGTTCACGTAGGAAACACCAGCCGACTCATAGCCTGCAAGGATGCCCGTTTGCTTCGTGCTGTGCGTATTTTTTGTGCGTATTTTTTATGCGAATTTCAGTGCGAGTACACGAGACATTGCAAGATGATAGTCGGGTCGCGACAAAGTTTTCAGTTTCATTGTTATCGAACGCTTCAATTATTTATCTTACTTTTTTTGCTCTCAAGTTTGGATTGAGCAAGGATGATATAAAAAAATGTCTTTATTTAAAAGAGATATTTAAAATAATAAAAATTCAGAAAATAAAATGTCTTATTAAGCAGAGTATAAATGCATTTTTAAAGCAATTATAAATTTATATTTAAATACGAGATGTTCTTTCTTTCTGTAAAGGAAGAAGTATGTGTGTATAAAACAGCTCTGTATGCCTTCTTTTATATTACACATGACTAGTTTACACCCAGACAGCAAACTCACGTTATAATACACGTGAAGATTAGCTAAGCTATCGCCAGATCACATTATTTTAAATATTATAATCTCTGTCATATTATAACTCCTATATATTTATGTTATAAATTTAACACGTAATTAATTTCAAAAAACATTTTAAACTAATTTATCTCTCATAACTTTCTCTTTGCAAATTATTTTAGATAAAAGTAACATTCAATATTTATGTCATTATGTTTCATATAATATTTCATTACGTTTTTTTCGAATAATACGAATTGAACTAAAAAAGCGAATCGCTATTGAAAGAATAAATTTTAATAAAACTCAATAAATCTTTTAATAAAACCAATACAACGTTTTTTATGGATAAAGTATTTGTTGACTCAATACAAAGGCAGCTGCCATATTTAATAAATTTGATTTCTCCAACAAAGTAAACGGTTTAGGAAGAAAAAAATATTTTGTAAATAATATATATCAATGTAAAAGATAAAAATTATTCTGTTTATTGTATATCGTTAATATGATCCCCCCATGCATATAGTCTATAAGTGTATAGTAATTGGAAATATGTCAATTAATAATAGTTAATATATCATAGAATAGTTAGTAGTTAAATATAGTATATATCTCTTATATATAATAAAAATACTTAAATAATAGTAAATTAATCATAAATATTTTTTTATCAAAGACCTATTTGAATAACTCGTGGCGCCGAATAACTCTTGGCAAGACTTCGAATTAAAATAAAAAATTAAATAATGAGAAATCAATAGAGATATAATTCTACAAGAAACAAATATGGAATATTTTTAATATTAGATATATTTTTCCTTCCATCTTTTTTCTGAGGAATCATGCCTTCCTCATTCCAATTTCGCATTACATGCTATGAAATACATAAATTCCGCAATTATGAAGGCCCATCATTTTCATGAAAAATGTGAGATTCCATGATGACAAATTTATTCCTTTTTTATTGAACGAGTCGCAATTTTATCATGCGTTTCATGCAAATTTCTGTTTTCGCCGCTTTTACGTTTTCATGCTCGCAATGTATCGAGTATTATATGCCAAATAAAAAAAAGCAATTGTAAAAACTTACCTAATCCTGTGGACTTCCTCACACATTTTGGCGCACCATTTTCGTTCTTACAATATTCATTCTCTCCACAAACCATAGTCGTGCAACTTGCTCCTGCAATGAAATATTTTTTTATTTGTTACAATAATATGATATCAATATTATCATAAATATTCAAATATGATATGAAAATATAAAGTTGTATATTAACGGTATTACAATTATACTGAATAAAAAGTTAAAGAACTTTAAACAAACTAAAATTTACATTTAATTTTTTATTTATTTTCAAAAATAAACTGTTCTCTCTTTTTTTTATCAATTTAAATACATGCATATAAAAATTTAAGAAAAAATGCATTTCTGTTGAACTCATTCAAAGATCTCAATCATTTTTTTTAAATTAAATTAGATGCAAAATTAAAATATGCACATAAAGTAATAATGTATAAAGTTTAATCACATAATTCATTTAATAATTGCAAGTGCATCTTAAAGCTCTTAAACTAATATACTGAATAAAGAATTAAATAGCGCGAATTACTTTTCCATTATTTTTTGTAATAAAAAAATAAGTCACACTCGCGCGTGCATATACGCATCTCACGTGTGTTATCAATGTATTCAAACGTGTCGAGATTAATCAGAGCTAATCATCGTCATTTCTCACCACTTATCCTCTGACAGGTCGGATATCGCCCGCACTTGTCGGAATAGCCAGTGCAAGGATCCTCAGCCATCACGCATGTTTCATCACTACGGCAACCGATGTCATTGCAATTTCTTCCATATTCTAAAAATAAAAAAGAAGAACATACAAATATCTTCGCGATATTTCATTACAAAATATATTTTATTATTTTTTATTATAAATGTATAATTTAATTTTTATTATATAATTTACATTTATATTATATTTTGTTATTCAATAAAATGCGGTATTTTATACTTATTATACTTACTGTTATAAGAAGCCGTATCTGGAACAATGGTAATTATCAGCAACGTCCCGAAAAGGACGCTGAACATAGTGCGTGAAAACATTTTCTGGAAATAAAATCGAAATAAAAATGTTAATATCATGATATATTTCGTTAGTTCATCTTCTATTGATGTTTTCAATTCATTTTTCTATTACATCATAAAAAGCGATGGTGAATTGAAAACACACACATATATAATCGAACGTTTCCCATTGAAATTTTTTAAAGAATCGGCAGGTGCGAGCAGCGGTATATATTATATATATTATAGAGCAAGGATGAATTTTGAAACTTAAGAACCCACGTGGCGTTGCATGGCTCTTTATATACATTGTTCTTATATAAACGTCATGAAATGACGTTGATATGTTTTTTATATTGTAGAGATTTTATGACAGTCCGCGTGAGCATCGCATTTGGTACTTGGCAGTATTCTTGTACCATCGCTATCCTTGGATCGAGCGTGATTTTGGCCGCGTTGATATGTTTTTTATATTGTAGAGATTTTATGACAGTCCGTGAGCATCGCATTTGGTACTTGGCAGTATTCTTGTACCATCGCTATCCTTGGATCGAGCGTGACGCAGTATCGTGTTCGAAGGTTGGAGACCCATAACACGCTCACGGCGATCTTTTATATACCCGCTATTGCCGGAAAAATCGCAAATAAATTAGAAATCGATGCGAGAAATATGACGATCCGCTTCTACTACGCGAAGAATCGCATCGATCATCCGAAAGAAGCCACGTTTTTTTACAAGGAAAGTTAAAAGAAATTGCGCAAAGAAAATGCCTATTATCTGCGTTCGCATATCAATGCGTTTCACTGTAATTCTTTTCATTATTTTGCAACGAATAACACACAATAATAATTGATATTTAGAAATTATCGACTCATTATCTTCGGAATGAATTTATTTTACATACTGCGTTTCTGACACACAACTGGCTTGACGATGGAATATTTACCTATACATATATGTATGACAGTAATGTGTGTGTGTGTGTGTTGATGACATATCTCATAAAACTTTCTTTGTGTGAGAGAATGAAAGCTTATTATTAATCATCACTTACCTGTTTGTTTCCGAACTTTGTGGAGCTCTAATATTCTGCGTAGTCGTCACAGTAGTCGACGCGATACTAAAATCTGGCTCGACTGACTCCGAACTCCGACTCGACCAATACGGCTGCTTTTCTGACGCATTCGGGAGTTGGAGCGAGAGAAAACGATGGATCTTAGCAATAAGAGTGACGAAGATGTCAAAGAAGAAGGTCAAACGATTCGACGAAGGAGGGGAGGTAGACTATATATATGATGCACGTTCAGAAAAAATATTGCACGTGTGTGCAATATTGAGTGTGTGTATGTGTATGTGAAATTGATGATGTTGATACTGGAATTTTATGCGAAAATGCGCCAATTAATATTTAGTCATCAGTATATTTACTATTGTTTTTGTATCATACTCTACGCCTATTTTTTATATAAATTGTTTTCATAATTTTCTCTTATATATAAATATAAAATAGATTATCATCCAGAAAAAAAATATGGTATAATTATTTTGATCATTCATAAATAAATAATATTAATTGTATATATTAATTGTATATTAAAATATCATATATTATATATAAATCAAGATTACACAAAATTACAATTTTCAAACTTTAATTTTTGTTAGCAAAGATCCTGCTTAGCGAAGATTCAAACCTTCTTAGCAGAAACTTGACCTCTATATGATATTGTAGAAATCTGCTGCGATTTGCTGAGAATCGTGGCTATATAGTTCCACGTTCATGTTTTATAAATGTAGTTAGCGTTACTGGTCGTCACCGGTCCCCGTCACATCTGTTTTTGACATGTTTAGCGTGATATTTAGAACTGTATCTTTTCGTGAATATATTTCTTCGAATTCAAGAGAAAGATTAAGATGTCAAAAATGAATTCGAAAGACAAGGATAATAAGACATTGCACGATAAACTGAAGCAGTTCTTTCGTATAAATAAAGGTAAGTATTTTATATTTCATATATATATATATATTTTCTCCCTTTTCGCATACAACTTTTGTTGCACCAGATATATTAATAATCGCACCGGCATTGCAGGAAGTTACAAGAGTCGCGAAGATTTCACTTTGACTCATGATATCGAGAAAGAAATTAGTCCCGATAGTCCAGTGCATCACCGTACCAAGGCGATCAAGGAACTTTCCGATGCAGTACTCAATCAACAATGGGAAGATGTATGTATACATGTGTATAAAAAATTATATCACATTATCTCGTAAATACTTCAAATGGAATAGAAATATTAAATAAAATATATATAATGTGTTTTATGTCTATATAACTTCCTCTATTACTCATACTAGAGAGCGGCAGAACGTCTGTGGAGCCTAGTCCAAGATTTACTCGCAAAGGATGTTCCTCGTGAATATAGGCATTTAACATTAAATTTCCTAAAATGTCTTGTACAAGGACAATATTCGAAACTTTCATCATTGATGCGTGTAAAATTTTTCATGGTTGTAAAGGAGTACGATATACCCGAGGATATTGGTCCTAGGTATTGCAATAAGTTGAAATATATATTATTTCATGATTCTTAAATTTTTGCGCCTCTTGTATATTGTATTTAAATATTTCAGATTGGAGTTGTTACAAACATTGACAGAACATGGGAAAGATATTTTGCATTTGGAAGAAAGAATGGGACCTTTCTTGTTAGAATGGATGCCTACGGTAACAGCTGGTGATGGAAAAAGAGGAGCCGAGTTCTTATCTCTTCTTGTAAATGTTATCAAATTTAACTCGGCTTACATCGACGAGGATATTGTATCTGGTCTTGTTCAGTAAATACTTTAACATTTTTCATCAGATTAAATCATTCAATGCAACAATTTATTATAAATATTATATTATATATTTCTTTCAGGTATATCTCCCATTTGTGTTATTATAGTAATAATACCGAAGTTGTTTCCGGATGCTTGGAAGCCCTTGATGCAATTATGTGTTATAGTAATTTGCAATCAGACTCATTACAAACGTTTATTATAGCCTTATGCAGAAGCGTAAATGTTGAGACTTATTGCCAAACAAGCTGGAAGGTACAAATAATGATATATAATATCTAAATTTAACAATATAAATTTCTTTTTCTTTTTATTAATTGTACATACTAAAAATGAAGATATTAGATATCCCTGCAAGTTGTATATATAATTACTTGTACAATATATATACTGTATATATATGAATTTTAAATTATTTCCTATATATTGATTTGTGAACAAAATATAAAAGTGTAAATCATAATGTAATATATTTTTTACAATTCAATCATAATGTAATATAGATTTTACATATTTTTTTACATGTTATTTTTACAGATTATGCGGAATTTATTAGGGACACATATGGGTCATTGCGCTTTATATACTATGTGTCGGTTGCTACAAGATGTAAATTTTCAACGTGACGTTCGTTTACTTCGAGGAGCGGTGTTTTATGTAAATATGGGTTTGTGGGGTGCACATAGAATACCAAAATTAGAATGTACACCAGCATCTGTTTTGCCCTCATTTTATCAGGTATGTATCAAAAGTATAATTATATAATATTGTATGGTACAAAGTATAATAATTTAATTTATTTACATTGCTAGGCTCTACAATGCAATCATCCAATTGTTATGTATGAAGTTACCCTATCGATACAAAGATTGGTAAACAAATATGGTAATGAATTATGGGATCCTACATGGAGTATTATTCTTGATATCATAGAACAAATTATTACTCACACTGGTAAAATTTATTGAAATGTTTTATAGAGTTATTCTACAATGAGCATTAGAAGCTACAATATAATAATTATGATTTTTATACATTGTCCAGAAACTAGTAATCAGCCGGCAACCAGACAGGTTTCTATAAGTTTACATGAAACAATTACCAATATTGAAAGTTTACTTGATGCAAATAATTATAATGGTTGCATTCAACGCTTTTATGATCTTGTTGAACGTTGCAGCGATTCTCGACCTGTAAGTGGATAAATTTATGTAAAATATATTTGCATAATACTTAGTGATTATTTTTATTTCCAGGAAGGATCTGTATTAAAGTTAATTGAATACAGAGCATCTACAATAGGTCCTACATATTACCAATGGCAGGCCAAATTAGGATCCCTGATGGAACGTTACTATAAAAACGAAACACGTACAACAATTAGGATGAAAGTTCTTGATGTTCTGACCAATGTTATTCGCGTTAATAGGTATCATGTATAAATTATTTTTTTATTCCAATTTTAGTTTAAAAACACATTTATTACAATTATATTTATCACAATTGCATACACTATCACTATATATATATATATATATATATATATATATATATATATATATATATATATATATATATATATATATATATATATATATATATATATATATATATATATATATATATATATATTATAAATGTATATTCAATAGATCTAGATACGAAGATGAACTTATCGAACGAATTGTTGTACCACATACGCAACATGTGGATATAGATCCAGATATTACGATACGTACCGTTACAGCAAATTTATTAATAGACCTATGTTTGGAATGTGATACCAAGCGATGTATAGAACTTTTGGACATATTGGAAAAGGTATTAAAATTATTTGTTAGAGTAATTAAAGAATAATAGAAAGAATAATAATATGGGACGTTTTTTGTTTATTTAGATAATCAACAAGCCTTTTACATCGGACATTCCAATTTCTATGGATGCAGACATCAAAGATGTAAAAACTGCTGTTGTTGGAATAATAAAGATATTCACTTCCAAAATCTATCGCTTGCCGTCGAGTCATGCGATTTATGCTTATAAGGTTTTGGTGAATCATCTTGAACAACATTACAAAGAACCGTCCGTCTTTCATGACGTATCAACAACACGTTATTTGGTAATTATTTTGTTACTAAAATATAAGCTATCATAGATATATAAATATATAATATATAATATATATTGCAGATTTTTGAGTGTTTTTTAAAAATCAGAGCAAATTCTTTGTGTCATCTCGGTATGCTAGAAGCACCAAATGCAACTCGATTTAGCCCCTATCTTGTTTTGGAACATGGTGCAACTGAGCGTATGAACAGTGCAGGTGGAGGTAATAGTCCTCCACCAGCTAGTCCTGTGCCATTGCAGCATTTATCTTGTCATATTACACCAATGTCTTTAACTCATGGATGTAAAACTATTATTTCATGCATCAAACAAGAAAAAGGTGAGATGCCTTTCTTAAGAAAATTTTCATAGCTTTAAAGGAAACTATGTATGCAAAATCTTTATATTCGTTATATTTTTTGACAGATTGGAAAGTTTTATATTTAATATTAAAGGAATTACCACAAGTGATGCAGAATAGGGCACTGGTATTATCTCGTCATAATGATATCGATTTCTTTGCGGCAGCCTTATGTTCAATGGTCAGTTAACTTGCGCTTCATATACTTAGTGTTCATAAATATTATATTATTATTTATCATTTTTTACTTATTAATTTAAATAAATTCAATTTTTAGGTGAGTGACAAGAGTCTGCGTCTCCCCGAATCACTTTATAATGTTCCACCAAAGTTTACTCTTTCCGAATTTCGGGTCTACGTTTTCCCAGTGCTAGCATCTCTAGCATCATATCACGCGCATTTGGAACCCAATCTACAACAACGTTTAATAAAATGTCTAGAGGTAGGACATGTGTGTTATGCATAGTAGCAAGTTAATAAGAATCACAGAAATGAAAAACTCTTTTTTGTCTCTCACCACAAAATATTTTAATTCATTTTTAGGTTGGCCTTACAGCAAAATGTGCGAGCCAATGCGTAACCAGTCTCACAATCTGCACACTAGAAATGCGCGATGCAATGAATAAACTTTTAACAGAAGTGTTATTAAATTTATCAAAGATCTCCGCAACAGTCTATATTGCTATACCTATTTTAGAATTTTTATCAAGTAAGTATTGTATCATCATAAAGAAGTTTGCTCAATAAAATCTTTAACTTATTAATAACTGCAATAAATTTCTCTATTCTAGCTCTAACTAGATTACCAAAAGTTTTTGCCAGTTTCATTGGGGATCAGTATATGTCTGTATTTGCAATACTACTGCCATACACTAATCCTTTTAAATACAATCATTATACAGTATCTTTGGCTCATCATGTAATTGCAGTCTGGTTTTTGAAGTGTAGACTTCCCTTTCGGAGAGATTTTGTTAAATTTATTATTACAGTATGTATCAATGTTAATCACAAGATTATTTGGCAATATTGAACAAAAGATTATCTTCTACTACTATTTTTTCTCTTTTCTAAAAAACAGGGATTGAAAGCAAATGTGATAGTTCCTTTTGAGGAAGGGCATTTGATGAAATCTGATTTTAGTATCATCAATGAAGATTCTTCAAATAGAAAACGTAGTTCCAGTTTAACTGAACAAGTAACAATATATTTATATTAAAATTCATGATAATTATGTTTATAAAAGTACATTCTAATAATTTTAGATAACAAATTCTAAATTTGTAGTTGATATTTACACATACATGTGTGTATGTAGTGTAATTACAACTGTAAATTTAGAATTCGTTATCTGTATACATATTATTTTTTTTTAATTATTTAATATAAATTAAATATACATATATATGTTTTTATAGGGTAGTAGAGGTCGAAGAGAAAGACCGATAATGGCGAATCGAATGATAGGAGAAAGTAGAGCTTTAGATTTAAAACCTCCAATTGATGAAGCTTTAATGAACTTTCATATTGAACTTACTGAAACTTGTATTGATTTAATGGCTCGTTATACATTTTCGAATTATTCGGCGCGGCCTAAAAGGTGATTCTAAGTAATCGAATAAAATAAAAGATATGACATCCCGAAAGATATTGAAAAATATGATGAAGAATATAATATATTATTGACAATAGATTACCAGCTGCTGATTTCCTCCTTAAAGAAGGTCAGTCAATGACTTGGATTCTTGGCAATAAACTTATCACGGTAACGACAAGTGGTTGCAGTAATAAAGCTATGCGCGGTGGACTTTGCGATAATTGTTGGGCGGCATGTAAACCTGGCCTTCTATTACTGGATCATACAAGAACATCTCAGTCAAACTTGCAACGTACTTCAAGTGTTGAGGTTCTTTATCTTTAGATATATACATATATGATACAATTTACAGTATTCATTATTGCTTCTTTTTACATATTAAAAATAATATGAAAAATTGCCATATATTTAAGAAAAATGTATTACATAAGAAATCATATTCATAGACATCGAAGGAAGACAAGTTATCCAGACAATCCTCCGGTGGCCATGGAAGTTCAACCGCGAATACTGCTACGAATTCTCCCACAGAGGAATCTAAAAAATCTACAGAAGACTCTGATAGTGCGAAAAAGGAATTTCTTATAGAGAAGACTGACAAGGATCAGATTGAATTGTCAAAGCTAGGACAGATATTGAATAGCGACAAACAAGATGGGCATATACTTTGCGCTTGTTGGTGTCAAGGATGGGCTGAAATATACGTGCGTAGACCCACGGGCGATATGTCATGGATTACGAGAATACAAAATTCTACACAATTTGAAACTCCTATGGATTTTCCTGCACATGACATTATGGCTCTATATATGCCGAATCAAGATATAATACCGAATAAGCAACAAGAGGCTGCATCAGAATATTCTGATGACGAAGCAGAGGTATTTTTAAAATAATTAAGCTCTAATAATAAAAATAATCAACTATTGATGAATTATTAAAAAAAACTTTTGTATAATGTATATTTTTTATACATTTTTTTCTCTTAATGCAGGATATACCAAACAAAAATATTAATCAGTCACAGAGCGAATCCAGCGTCAAATCCGTATTATCTTCTGTATCGTCAGGTCCCATTGCAATACCAGGTTCACCAGCTCGACCTAGCCCATCTCGACAAAGCTCAAGAGATAGTTTAGAAAGCTTAGAGGAAGGTGAAGAAGGTATGTATTATCTAAATATAATTATATAAATATTCTTGTTTTCTTTTTTTAATAAATTTCTAAAATAATATAAAAATTTTTTGTAGATATGCGGCGTTCCAGAAATCCAGTGCGCCGATCGAATTCCAGTCCAGAAATGAGCGCTAATTGGAAAAATCCATTCTTAAATAAAGAGAAACTAAATGTGCAGCAGCAACTTGATAAAGATTTTACTTGCTCAGATTTAGAAATTAAATTGGATGCAGAATTGAAGAAACATTCAAAAAATATTTACACAAAAGACATGAGGTATATTTCTAAAAAATCTTACATATACACAAGTATATTATTACAATTAATTAATAATTTATTTAATAATTTTTATATTAACCTTTTTTTTATAACTATATCTAAAGAATGCTATTTTTTATAACTATATCTAAAATTGTTTTTTTATTCGTTATTTAATTTATAGAGTTAGTTGTGAAGCTATACCGGAAGAAATATTTGGTATGGGAACAACTCCACCTTCCTCGGAAAATATTGGAGATCATCCAAGCGCATTACGTTCGCAACGTTCCTATCCAGGAGCGACGCAAGTTACTCAAACTATTTCAGTAACCGTTAGCAATACTGTACCGCCATCACCGACAACTATACAGGTAGACGATACTAATAAAGTAACATAAAATTTATACCTAACATTAAAATTATTTTAGGCACCAGGAAATTATTTAGGAATACAAATACGCCCGACACAAATACAATCATCTACTTCAAAAGCGCCACAATCACCCACTCAAATTTATTCTCGATTATCTAGTCTTGATTATAGTCAAAAACAAATGTCTGTTGAAAATAAACCACCTGTTGGACGAAACTTTGGAGATAAAGTATACCAAGAGAGAATTGAATTTTTTCAAAATAATTTCTTTTATACACATACACATTACATCATTTATAATTGATCACTTTTCCAGCAAAAGGATGAGAGGCCGGATCCATCTATGTTGCCTCCTTTACCTATAACTATACCTTTCCGCGACAGAGGCCACACGATCTCTGTTATGAGTCCAGTAAAAAAATCACGAGGGGAGTGGGATAACATGCGACGAGGCAATTCACCTCGCGTAAAGGATCCGCCACGAACAGGCATTAATCCAAGGTTGTATATTGTTATATCCTTTTCACTTGAATCTATTATACGTTTTAGAATTTTTTATTACGACATAATATATCATGATTTCCTGGAAAATCACGTTACATTGTCGTGTTACAGTTTCGTATTCCTTCAACTTTACCATGCAGCGCACTTTGGCACTACCACAGAAAAGCCTTTGTTAGTTCCACAAACAACAGCTATACAACGCGCGGTGACAAATTTAGATAGAATACAACCATACGAGACTCATAAAATTGGAGTGCTTTATGTTGGTCCGGGACAAGCTTCGAATGAAACTGAGATTTTGGCAAATCAGCACGGTCCCCTTCGTTACACCGAATTTTTGAAACGTTTGGGTACGTTAATTCGACTAAAAGATGTCGATGAGAATGTATTCCTAGGTGGATTAGATCGTAACGGTGAAAATGGAGATTTTGCTTATATTTGGCAAGATGATGTTACGCAGGTTTGTAATCGATATTTTGTATCAAATTAATTCAGATGGCATTTTTGCAATTTTTTATTTAATAACCCGAAAACTTTTTAGGTAGCTTTTCATGTTGCGACACTAATGCCCACAAAAGCAAGCGATCCAAAATGTACATCTAAAAAAACTCACATTGGGAATAATTATGTAACACTTGTTTACAATGAATCTGACGAACCATATAATATACAGACAGTTAAGGTAAGTATGTGCAGGATTGAATTACCTTTATAAATTCTGTTGTAAGATATCTTCGTGTTTAATTTATTTTCTCTCACACATTCTTTCAGGGTCAATTTAATTATGCCTGCGTTGTGATACAACCTTTAGATCATGGTACTAATCAAGTCACGGTACAAGCGCGAGAAGAATTGGCCGAGCATATCGGTCACAGCGAGCCTAAAATAATTTCTGACCAGAATCTGGCGATTCTTTCACGACAACTTGCTTTGCACGCTAATGTAAGTATTGTAAAAGTTTTTACAAGAAAAAATAGATACAATATAAATGTATAATTTACAGCTCGCCTCAATGGTTTGTTCGTCTTTGAAGCAAAATAGTCACAATCCATACGCCTCTAATTGGTTGGAGCGATTACGCCATATTAAGCGGCTAAGAAATAGAGTATTGCAAGAATCCGTTAACAACAATCCGGATACCGCTGCGGACGAATTATCGCCGAGAACTAACAAACGTGTTTATATGGACGACTTTACGGAATATACAACATAGTTTTATTGTATAACATGATAACTGTACATTGAAAATGAGAATGATGAGACTAAATCCGATTATGCATTGAAAGTTAACATATTAAATGCATTAATTATCGAACTGTTTAGAAATTGGAAAATATTTTCAATTTGCGAATTGAAAATATGAATTTTATTATAATATATTATCAGATCTTATATTAATTGTATAATCAATGTTCTTTTTTTGCTTGCAACATAAAAAAAACTAAGTATATCATCTTTTACATTAATATATATAGACAGTCTATGGGAGCAATTATCTCTTTGTACCAAGTATCTATAAAAGCGGATGCAAGAAACATTAAAATCATTTTTATTCTGTTTTGCATAGAAAATTCATATCTTTATCAAAATTCTGTCACTGACATTAAACAGCTTAACCGATTGATAAATTAATTTCAGGGTCATATCTTTATCAAAATTCTGTCACTGACATTAAACAGCTTAATCGATTGATAAATTAATTTAATCGGGAAATACAAACTAAAAAATCATACTTAAAAATTGCCATAATATATTGTAAACAGAGTTCAATATAATCTGAATCAAATTTTTTATTTCAACGCGCCAACGTGATGAAAAATCTCGTTAATTATGTCATTGTTGTGTTTCATTATTGATAGGTATAAAAAATCATTTTTACGTTTATAACAAAATATGACTTCAAAATTATACTAGCATTTTAATTCCTGGCTCGTATAAACATCAGATACATTTATATTCATAATTATGGCTCCACTCGGGAAAACGCCAGAGATGCATCGAAGCATTGCATTAACCAATCAAGATAAAGAGATCTTTACTCTTTTTGTCCTGATTGGTCAATCAAAGCGTCTTCCCGACTGCAGCCTATCATACTCGTGACTCGTGACTCCGAGAGTTGTGTGTCTGCTATATTTTTATCAGTCTACTGGGTATACACGGGTATAGCACTGCTTTTTGCATAACAAGATATCATGTCAAATAAACATTTATTTCTTCCATCTGGATTTCCACGAGCACCTCTCGGTCTTGGGATCGGACGTTACGTCTGTCAGTTGCAGAGGATAACTTTAAAGTTTTGCAAAAACCATGGCACAAGTAGAGGAATGAGGTAATTTTTGCCTAACCTATTTTTTAATATTTTTGTGGATACTTTTCGTACATGATAATGAAGGATTATTAAACCAATGTGTAATTTTGTGCACAGAGGTTTTATAGAACATGATCTAGTTCAATTTGCAAGAGAAAATCCAGGAGTCGTTGTGTACGCTAAACCAAGAAGACACAGGCATCCAGTTATAGTCGCAGAGTATTGTATGCATTTAAGAAATAAATGATTATTTTTAAATCAACGTGATACTGATATAACGTATATTTTGTGTCTAGTAAATGGTGGTAGACACTGGATAGATGTTGCTAATTATAGTCGGGATGATATTATAAAGTGGGTGGAGCTGTTGCGTACACAGATTCACAACAGTTCTTCGTTGAGACTGCGTAAGCTGTGGCATACAGATTTTCCATCAATCCAAGGCCCATGGACACCATTTACCTTTAAAGAACCCAAGTTAAACTTGACAAAGTTTCCTAATGTAATTATATTTTATTCAAGACAAGATTTTTGGATTAAAAAGATTAATAATATTGTACATATAATGCATATTAAAAACCATGTTTATGAAAATGGGATATATATTCTGACAGAGATGTTAGACACATATTATACTATATACACATACATATATATTCATTCTTTCCTTTTATAGAAAGAGCTTGGTGCATCTGTTAAATTACATCCCACAGCAACGGAGCAACTTATTGAATTATTCAAAGCCCAGCAGTTGGCTAATGAAAACAGGACAGATGATTCTGTAGCTGTTCAGCAAGATACTGAACATGATGTTCAAAGAACATAATTTCTAATAGTTTTCCTTATTTTCAATATTTATAATGTATATATAGCATAAAATATATACAGCACAGAAAGTAGAATTATATATTTTGACTAAATAACCAATATACATACAACAGAAAAATTATTTAGCAGTTTTATTTATTATCAAGTGTACATTGTACATTATATATATATATATAGTAAATGTGAATTTTCTTCACATAATACAAAAATCTTATAGATTTTTTTCCTCTCGATTTTATAATAATACATTTTTTAAAATAAAACAATGAAATACAGCGTCCCCTGGTTATAAGCTTTTTTTTTGTTTTTTTATGTTACATTTAAAAGTGTAATAATATTACATTTAAAACAGTTAAAAGTGTTTACAAAAAAACTCAATTACATATCTCATGACAAAATATATCCATACAACATTTTATTAAAATTAAAAGACTTAAGACAATACACAAGTATTTTGATCTAATTTCTTTTCATCATAGAGTAAACAGTGTAATAGAGTATTATATTGGATTGTATATCGCGAAATATTGAATTAATATAATCTCGGAAATCATTATTTGGCTTTTCTTGATCTGGATTTGGATCTGTTTTCTGTAAAAGAAAAAAGTATATATCTTAATGATGCTATAGATCCACATTTATTTATCAAACATTAATTAATGCATGCATTATGGTTGGATCTTTTATGTATATCAGGTATTTATATATATATGTCAGATACATTGAAAGTTACTGTTGATTTGGTTTTCTTTACATATGAATCATTATATTCTATAATAAATAATCATTATACTTAATCATACATTTGCTGTACACCTCTATTTTCAGAAATTATTCTTTTATATAAATATAAATAATATATTATAAAATACGCACGTATATTCTTAGGAAAACATACTGATTGACCTGACGCATTATCGGAACGTAAATTTGGATTTGGCCCATCTATCATAACGAAATCGTTGCAGAAAGTTGAATTTGGAGCATCATAAGATACTGTCGGAATATCTGGAAAACCGGTCTAAAAAATGGTTTTTTTTATGAGAACATGCATCTTCATCACATTTGCCTTTTATTATTAATAAAAATTACAGAAATATACTTTATGAAAAAAATCTGATTCATGAATTCTTTGAATAAATACAATTTTATTCATTGGATCGACTTTAGAATAACTGACTTTAATTTTAGAATTTGCCTGATTATTCTTTTTGTTGTTACTCTATAACAAAATTATCTCTATAATATTCAATGGTTTTTAAACTTTTTTTTTATTCATAAAATTTCATTTAAAAAAATATTTTTTTTTATTTGCCTATTATATATTTTTATTTATACACATTTTCACTACATCAATACTAAAATAATCTTATCTTTTCTGAAATATTAGCTTTTAGACAATCTATATAGCATATATATAAAATAGTGTTATGAGGAATATATTATCATTATATAAAAATAGAATATACATTTATATTTCATAAGAATGATATAATTTTTATTATGTAACTAATCCATACAGAATATATCTTTCAGATTTTAATGTATACATACCATATTATGTTAGACTTATGATATTAATATAAACTTATTATATATCGTATATGTGTATAGAAGAAAATAAAAATGTGGCATTGCCATTTACTGTTAACTTTTTTTCCAAACTTTTTCAATTTTTCTTATTTTTTACCTTTGAAACACCAATTTGTTGCATTAGATTCACTCTTGCTTTTTCCATTGGATTTAGTAAATTATTTATCTATAACATTAAATAAATAATATAAAGATGTATAAAAGAATAAATAATATAAAGAACATTAAAAAATAAATAATATTAAGATACATATACATAAGATGAAAATTTTAATAATAAAGTTATATTTTTAATATTTTCAAACAAATATGTACTTTTTTATTTTTTGGATACTCTACATTACAAAATTTTTTAACTTATCATCATTATAATTACCTTATTATCATCCGGCTTAAGATTAGGTTTAAAATTAGGGCCTTTGCAACATTGGGTAAAATGATTTACATCACCACATTTTGTACATTTTGATCCCCAAGCGGGACACTTTCCTTGTGGATGTTGACAATTACATCTCCAACATTTTCTCTTTGTATCATTATTCGGCGGTTTCTGTACGGAGCTTATGGATTCTGTGCTTTCTTTAGTGACTTCTTTCATCTTTTCTGTATTAATATTGTAATCATTATAAATCGCTACCAGTTTCTGCAAATCTAAATTCTTTGTTTCCAAATATTTTTTACGAAGTATTTTGTCTGGAGTGCCAAGAATGATTTTATCTCGTATAATACTATCTGTTATGTCATTAAAATTGCAAGTTTTGGCTTTTTCCTATAAACAAAAATTTCAATATCAAACAAGCTATTCACAACAAAAAAAGTATATTGCCATTATAACATACCTTTAAGATATTTATATACTGTTCGATGGTTTCATTTTGTTTTTTGTCTCTTGTAAAAAATTGGAATCGTTCAACCACTTCATTTTTTGGTGGATTAAAGAATTCTTCTAGTTTTGCAATCAATATATTCATATCATCTTTATCTTGTGGATTGTCAAAGGACATAGCTTGTATGGCATCAATACCAATTTTTCCAATGCGATTTTTTAAGAGATTTGCACGAATTTCATTGGGTTTATCGATATATCCAGTTACTTTCATAAATATGATAAAATCTTCCTTCCAACTGTGCCAATTACTAGCCATGTCATTAGATTTTGTTAAAGGATCCGGAGCACGTGCATGTGCTTCCATCATGAATGCCACAAGCTTACTAAAAAGGATAAGATAAATCTTCGTTTAAAATTATTCTTCTTAATTTTATTTTTTTAATTTACATTAATACACAATGTAAATCAAGATAAATAATCCCTATTGTATTATGCTATTGTATTTTTGTTATATATAGAATGTAGATTACATACTCTGAAGACTCTTAAGATTGAGTTTTAATAATTAAACAAAATAATATTATATATAATAAACATCTTTTCAACACAAAAAATAAAGGATAATAACATTAATGAAAAAAGTATAGCAAAGTTCTAAAAGTATAGCTTTCAAATAATAAGTTACAAAAATATATGGTTGTGAATGTTATCTCTTCTAAGATAAAATTAGTCATTTTTTTATGAAGAAAGAATGAGATCTTGAAAACAATCAATATCTTAGCTATATATTTTAATAGAGTAAATAATATATTTTATCTAATATAACTAATGTATATATGTATATATATAATTCTAACTTTGAAAAGTATCATTATTATAATTTTTTTTCATTTATATATAATATTAATTATTTTAAATAAATAAAACTGTGTCAATAAACATTCAAAAATTATTAATATTGGCCATCTTAGCATTAATATATTTTAATAATCTTATCAATATTATTATTAAAAATTTTATTACATAAACAAGTTAACGATATTGTAGCTTATGTCTAAAAAACGTGATAAAAATAGCATATGTGTGCTTAATACATAGCTGTGAAATTTATTTTTCTCATTTATATATGAAAAAGTAATAATTTATATAGACGTAAGAATAGATTAAACAGACTTGTAAAAGATTGTTAAACTTCAATATGCACAATACAAAAGAATTGTTGCGAATTTCATTCGCCATATCCGATTTCAAGTGACGTGTTCGATATAACGCAATTCACGACAATAGTTCGCGCTATTAATACGAGATTATGCTGATCTTCTATATTATATAAAGCTATAGATAATGCATTTACCTGTTTTTCAAACGTATACTCTTCACAAAATAAAAATATTTTACGCTTTTTCGACGCGCAGAGTACTTAACTCGCACTTCGTACGTAACTTGGGTGTGACGACGTTATTTCTTCTTCGTTTTATCCGTCCGTGATGACCGTGACTGCAGTATATACATAGTCGTGTGTAGTAGTATAGTGTGTAATCACGGTACTTCGGAAAATTCAACTTACGTATACGTATAACGGGTATTCCCCAAAGCATGTATATATATACATTTATAGATATAAGATGTGTTTCGATATAGACAACCAGTAGATTTGTTCGCGTTGTTTGAAATTCCCAAAAATTTTTGCACTTAAAACGAGATGAATATATATTCGGATGTTGAAGAGAGTGAAAGCGAAGATGCTGAGTGCAAAAAGTTCAAGCAACGCGAACAAATCTAATATAAATATACACGGTAGTGACAGGAGCATTCCATTCGACCACCTGTCAAATGGCCACAACCACTCATATCAGTTAGTGTCTAGGGTAACCTAGGGATAACCAGCAACGATCGACCAATCAGAGAGTTCTATTTTGAATTTGACGACGTGGGCGATTAAATTTTACAATTGTCAATCTTAAGGTGCCTTTACATGGCAGCGTCAAGCGTCGAGCGTTAAGCGTCTGCGCAGAATATTGTTGCCCAGAATTATATTTCATTTATTTTATTATATAACAGATGTGTGTGTGTGTGTGTGTGTTATTATTAATCAAAGATATATTATGAAACGTTACTACTCTGGCAATGTAAATTAAAATAAAATTAAAATACAAATGCGGCAAAAGATTTTGGATGGTTGAAATATTCAAATAAATAAGACACAAAAAGGGATTCACAAATGACAAAACAATACAGTTTGAAAAACTATTGTTAAAAGTAGGAAATGATTTAAAAGAGCAGTATGTTATAAACATGCAGGAAAAAAAATGAAAATTATATCCCATAATCCTTCCCATACAGCACAGAACGTTGCAGCAACATTGCAACATTGTAGTAACATTGCGGCAATGTTATAATGTTGCTGCAATGTTGCTGCAACGTTCTGTGCTGTATGGGTTAATTAGATTTTAATATTTTGCTGGGGGATAGTAACGTTTTATACATATTTTGTTTAATAATAATAATATCTATTGTGTATAATGTAAATAAATATCAATTTTCAGTATTAGTAATGTGTATCAGAACATAATTTTTTTTATCTCGACCGAATTCATATCACTCATCATGCTATTAG